GGCAGACGCTCAACACAGGAGCTGCCCCCTGGTGGTCAGTGCACACCCACAGGGGGAGTGCCGCTCACCCAGAAGCTGGGCTCAGCTGCAGTTGCAGGAGCGGCCCTAAACCAGCAGGCGGACATCTGCCAAGGGGTTCTGGACTGAGAGGGCACAGGCCGGGCTGAGGGGACCTCTCCCCTACCTCCCCCTCGAATGTTGTGCACTGGGCCTCTAGTTAATAAATAAGGATTACTTGAATGCAAGCGCTGAGATAACACCACCGTCCATCTGAGCCAACTACTAAGTGACTGATAGGCAGGGAGCATATACAGTAATCCTCCCTTATCCACGGTTTTTCTTTTTCTTTTTATTTTTTTGGTCTGTATGGATTCCTTTTCTTTTTTTATTTGTCCAAACATATATATATGTATATATTTTTTTTTTGTTGTCTAAAGTTTTACATATGTCTCCCTTTTCCCCAGTTGACCCCCCACAGCCATTCCCACCCAGGGCAAGCCCCCACCGCCCCAGTATCTGTGTCCAGATGTTATGCTAATATGCATGTATATAAGTCCTTTGGTTGCTCTCTAACACCCCCCCCCGCCCCCCCAGAAGTGGGATTATTTTAAACCTTTTGAGGAAACTCCATACTGTCTTCCACAGTGGCTGCACCAGTCTGCATTCCCACCAGCAGTGTATGGGGTTTCCTTTTTCTCCACATCCTTGCCAGCACTTGTCATTTGTTGGTTTGTTGATGATAGCCATTCTGAGAGATGTGAGATGGTATCATTGTTGTTTTGATTTGCATCTCTCAGATGATTAGTGACTTTGAGCATGTTTTCATATGTCTCTTGGCCTTCTTTATGTCCTCTTTCAAAAAGTGTCTATTTAGATCCTCTGCCCATTTTTTTATTGGATCGTTTATCTTCCTTTTTTTAAGTAGTATGAGTTCTCTGTAAATTTTGGAGATTAAACCTTTATTGGATATAACATTGGCAAATATGTTCTCCCATGCAGTGGGCTTTCTTGTTTTATTGATGGTTTCTTTCTCTGCAGAAAAGCTTTTTATTTTGATGTAGTCCCCTTTGTTTATTTTCTCCTTAATCTCCATTGCCCTAGGAGCTGTGTCTGTAAAGATATTGCTACGACACATGTCTGCTATTTTGCTGACTATGGAGTCTTGTAGGATTTTTATGGTTTCCCATCTTACATTTAAGTCCTTTATCCATTTTGAGTTTGTTTTTGTGTATGGTGTAAGTTGGTGGTGTAGTTTCATTTTTTTGCATGTATCAGACCAAATTTTCTAGCACCATTTATTGAAGAGACTGTCTTGACTCCATTGTA